GCAAGACCACTTGCTCAAGGCTTCTTGGGTGTGACTACAGGCCATGGTCACGCATACTTGGCTCAGAATAGACCTCTTTAAATTATTTTAGAGAGTTTGGGTTCTTTTCCATTGACAGCCTCACCCCTAAAACAAGGAGACACATAACTCCCAGCCTATCCCCATTCTTCCTGAAGACTGTCATTGTCCAAAATGCAGAACTACAGAACTGTTTGGTTGGCTGGGTCCTATAGAACATCACACACGTGCGATTTTGTAAATGAGGAAACTCAGGTCCTGAAAGTGGCAGGCGAGTCACTACACCCAAGACCTCTAACGTTCTGTCTGGTGATCTATGGCATTTACAGTCTGCACTATCTCAGAAGTCTCCATGGCCTCCTCTCCTAAATGTAAAAGATGAGACTTCTTTGCTAGCCATCCAGGGAAGACTTTGTGTAATAAGGTGCTTATTTATTTTTTCAAACTTAACTGTTCGGCTACAGATGCCTTTCCTTTCCGCCACTTTACTCTGTATTGTATGAACTGCCCATACCTACCTTTTGCATTTTGGCTGGAACATCTTTGTTCTTGCCATTTATCCCACCTGAAATATCTTTCTCCAGTATTATCCTCTCATGTGTATCTTACTTGTGTTTTGGGCCCCAAAGCATGCCTGATACATAGTGGGCTTTAATGTATATGTTGCTGAATGAATGAATGAAACATTTAATTTAGTCTGTTTTCCCCATTATTGACTGTGGCTAAATTTCCTTTGACAAAAGTCAATAAATATCCACCACCATATTCTGAAGTTTACACCAAAATGGATGATATTGGAAAATACTCACTTGATGTGTTTGGCTCTCAAGAAGCAGTGATTTCTTAACAGTTGGCAATGATACCCTATTAATTGCTCACTTGGGAAACTGCGCATATTATCTTTTCAAATGATCTGCCTCCCCTGCCCTCCCAAAGCAGTTATCAATTCTGATTTTCTCTGACTTGAAGATTGGTGGGCAGAGGATGGTGAGAAGGGAAAGGAATTTGGGAGTCACAGGGAGAAAAGGAAAGTCTAGCAAAGACTAGAAGGACTAATGAGAAGGAATTTATAATACGGCCTCAACCAGAGACAGGCGAGAGAATATAGCCAGAGGCTTTGGTTCTTAAAAGAGAATTGTATTGCAGGTATTATTTAAAATGCAAATTGAATCTAAGAATGTTTTTAACATTTGGTTTCTGGTCACTAAACCTGGCAATCAGTATTCAACAGTTTTAAAATAATTAGAAAGTCAAATGATTTTGTTAGAAAACGAAGATTTCTTGGCCTATAACTTGCTGCACTGAGTCCATTAACCTTTATTATGGACTGAGCTCCACTCTCTTCTAATGTGATCTACTTGAGAATTTTTAGACATGTCTATAGAAATGAAATTTATTCAAAAATGATACAAATTGGTTTGCAAAACTCAGAAATACAACTTGAACAGCAAGCAGAAAGTCTTAAATTAAGCAGTTAGTTGCTTATCTATTGTTGATGTCTAATTGTTTTGTTTGCGAGATATCCCAGTGCACTATGTTAAGTTTTGAAGGCCTGTGTAGTCTTTAACATGATCTTTAAAAACAACAAGATCTGAGTAAATGTCAATAAAACCAGAAAAGTATAAATATTCTATCTTCTGGCATATTTGATCAGGGCTCTCAATAAACAAAATTGTATTTCCTAGGATTTCAGGCATGAATACTAAGCTATGGATTTTAATTTAATGTTCTACTAGAGGACCCTAGGAGAATATGAACAGTTTGGACATCTGTTGAGTTAGTCTCAGAGTAAAACTGGACACATGAACATTTCAGGAAATGAAATAAAATCCTTAATGTATTTGCATGAAAATGCTGTTTACATATACAACTATTATGACTTTTTACATAAACACCCAAATTATCTGAATGAGCTTTTATGCACAGAAATATCTGATCCTTTCCCCATCCCTCCCTCATATTCACACATTAGCTGGTATTTTTGATTATAAAATTGATTCTTGTCGTGGAATACATATGTCTCTGCTCCCATCCCCCAATCAACCTAAAACCATTAAACTTAAGTGGCAGAGTTTTACCCCAACACTGCAGCTGCTCTCTTGTCTCTGGTAGGATGATAATAAAGACTAAGCCACAAGCAAAACCAAAAATTCTTGCAGCTAGAAGAGCTCTCTCTATGCTCTGTGGCCCTTGACAAATTATAAACGAAATACTACAAGAGTGTGGCTCCTAAACTAGTTTCCCCGAGCTGATAGCACTGAACCACTAGCTGGGGTGTCCATCCAGATGGGAAAAGGGCTGAGAGCGGCCAAAAGGGAAAAGAGGCTGTGATGTTGTTGATTTCAGGCCTCAAGGAAGAGACAGGATGCGGACTCTTAGGAGAGGAATGTCAGAGGAGAATGTAATTCATTAAAAGACCTGTGGGGAAACAGTCATATGTAGAAGCAACAATAGCAGCCACAAAACAAAACCCAAGTCCTGCCTCACTGCGGTTGCAGATCAGGGACAGAGTAGAAACCTGTAGTTGGGGAACAAGGTGCTTAATCTTTCAGCATTATCATAAAATGAAGCCTTCAGAAATCACCCAATCCTGTCATTGCAAACAATTTGATGCATTTGTGAAAGTAAGTTTATAACATTGTACACCTTTTAAAACTGCAATTGAGTACTAAATAATGGAGTAGTTTTGTTCCAAAGCAATATTTATTTTTCATGAAGATAAGAGGCATATTACATTTGCCATAGAAAATTCTATGAGAGGAAAAAGCTGCATATTATCAACATGACAAGAAAAACATAAAAAAACTCTACTTATGAAAGTGTTCTGCCCTATAAGAACATATTGAATGAAAGGCATTATTTCAGTTGAGTGAGCCATGCACAAATGTGGATTTATTAGGGTTTGTTTTGAAATGTAATTTGTACAGTGAGCTTTTTATTCCTTCGATGGCAATGAACCAGATTTATTGGCTACATGTTGGAAGTGCAATAGATAACAGATAACCAAGGGAGAAGTTTTAATAAAAACTCTCAGGAAAGACAAAGAAAAGGGAGCAAATAGGCCTGCTTACATTTCAGCTAATAAATAAAAAGTACAGATAGGGCTTTAACTGAAAACCATCCTGGTTATTGTAGCCTAGAAGGTTTATTGAAAATCAGGTAGAACACTCTAATTTTTCATATTTACAGCTACGACGTGAGCTGTACAAGCTAGAGTGATGTAACGACACACATTTTGATTTGGGTACAGGAAGTCAATGTTTTCACAGGAAACCTGCAAGTAGCCATGAAGGGGAAGAGTGGTTCCCGATTGTTAGTGTCTGCCTGGGTTATTTCTGGGATTTCGGAGACTTGAATAATAGAGTAATTTACCACTCACTGCCTCAATAAAAACATCAGGCACTTCTAGGGAAGTTTTAGAAGGTACATCTTCAATAAGCACAGGTCTTTCATCTGAAAGAGCTGGGAAGAACTGAGCTACCTTAGTTGAGAGCTTGGACCTGAGAGCACCATGCTTAGAAATGTAAGTATATTTAGGCCACTCATCTGACGCTGGGACTTCACTAGCCCTGTCACATACCTCTCGCCCAAGCTGGTTGTAGGCAGTAGGGTCCTAGACTCACAGAAGAAATCGGCTCTCCTTTTTCCTTTCAAGGCAGGAAGAAAAATGTAGTTCTCTGTGAGCAGCCCCTGAGCTATCTTGGTTTCAGAGTTGCTCTCTTAAGTGTCTTCCTTTGGAGAATGATGAATCACTTCCTACTCTTGGAGTCAGTCTCCTTTAAAACAGACATGAAGGAGCCAGGGAGGAAAAATTACTCTAAATACCAATAACCAACGCAACACAGTTTTCTAGGGGGAGAGCAGGGACGAACTTGTGCTCTCACAACTCACAGTTGGCTTCTTGGAACAAGATACACAGATTTAGAAAGAACCAGAGACCCCAGATCTGACTTCACTTGGTTCAGAAACATATTCAGCATGGTGATTATGTAGAGGATTAGGAATTTGCATCAATAAAATTTCGTTGTTTTATCGATACACAAAAGCTTTTAGGCTAAAAATAATCCATGATGGCTTGCCAAAAATAGGATGCCACTTTAAATCCAAGTTTCTATATTGAAGAGACAGGAACACGAATGCAAGATACATAAAAATTATTGGCATAGTTTAGAGAGTTTGGATCCATTATTAAATATGGAGTCTATCAAATATTCTACCTGATTTCCAGTTATGTCGATGTATCAATACTCACTTTTTAAACTCTCAACTATCCAAATCTTCCAATGAACACCATTTTGAAAGGCGTGTATAGAATTCCCATGCCATTACTGAAAGGATTTGCTCCTGGGGAGGGGTTTTGGAAAAATAAAAATTCAAAATTTTGCTACACTTATAAATTGTCTCCTGTAAGATTATAATAATAAAGATTCTGAGTACTTTTTTTGAGACGGGTGTTAAATGGATTAGAATGCCTCGGTAAAATGCATGAAAAGAAGACTTAATGATTTAATTTCTAAAGAACCTATGTTATTATGGCATGGTTTTGGAGACAAGTTATTATTGTCTACATAGGTAAGTGTGCAGTTCATCTTGTGGGAAAAATGCCTAAGTATTTGCCTTTTTCCAAGAAATCGTATTTTTCCTTTTATATAATCAGTTAAGATGTATACATTAAGAAAAGCTCATCTGGTTTTTAATGTACAAGATGATTTCTTTAAGAAAGCAACATCCAAAATTGTTTTGTGATTCAAAATTTAAAAATAAACATTCATCTTCTGACAATTTTAAAGATATGTTTCATATATTTGATTGTCCCTTATTTTGTCAAAAGATTTTAAGGGTCTAAATAACTCAACCACATGTAAGCTCTGGTGTACCTGGTTATGTATACTGAATAAACCATTTGATCTATTTACACATAGACATGGATATACATATCTGTGCTGTGTATATATATCCTCAGACACTATTATTAAATGCAATCCTATATTCTTGGATATAGAAGTTGATGATATGCCTTTCTACTTGCCATGGCACTAACAAAGCTAGGTTGAAACTCAGCAACCACTTGTGTTCACTGCATTGCAGGCTAGTAGTAAGTTCGGCTGCTGGTGGAAAATGGGTCTCTTACCACACCCCCCTTAAACTAAAGGTTTCTTCAAGCTTAATATAAGTATGTGCACATTCTTTTATCGAGGTGGTCTTGAGCTGCAGATACAATCGCACCGCTCGTGGTGATCCAACTGAATGTCAACGAGAGCCATGGTCTTTGCTCTGCCCCTCCTCCTGAAGTGGCCAGGCTCAAACTTTAACACCTAGGACAAGAAACATATTTCCTGTTAGAAAGCCCTTGGAGTTTAACTCAACCAGATGCCACTTTTCTGAAAGTCGGTTCTTAACCCTTTCAGAATCCAAGGAAGACTATGGGCCTGCTGTTAGAATGCCCACATGTAAACATTTTCACAAACAATTGACTCCCTTGAAGTAGAAGAGTGCACTGATCCCACAGTAATACCCTGGCATTACCTACCTGCAGTACCCAGATGTCCTCGTGTGTCTCAGCAGATATTTACTGATAGCTTTCTAAGGGCCTGCTTTGGGCCAGGTGCTATTTCAAATATTATCATGAAGATTCTTCTGACCAAAACATATGTTATAAACACAATACTGAGCACATTATCACCACAGACGGGAAAATGAATAAAGTCATGAACATAATATGCTGGCATGCCTAAATGTTTGGTTGAAGTATAACATTTTGCCCTGTTGAAGGTCATTAGTGGCCATAAATAAATAAAAATGTGTTTATATTCTCACATATTTACTAACACAAAATACCCTTTACAATTCAAAATAGATCACGTTCCACTAAAATCTTTATACATTAATACCTGTGTATCAATGCAGTATTTCTTAAGTCAATGAGTATATCCTTAATTTTTTAATTAGTAAGTTTAAACATTATTTCTTAGATCATTAGTTTAAATAGAAGCTAACTTTTCTGCCCTGCTGTGACCTTCATTGAGTCAAACATTAGCCATCACATGGACAAATACTTGGCAGAATTATCAACTTGTTCTCAAATATACTGCATAGTTATTTGAATTGCTTCTTTTCTTGATGTTCTTAGATTCCCGTTAGCCTTTACTTTTGATTTTGTTCTATTTTCCTTTTAGACTCCAAACTCCATCATGGTACCACCAAACAATTGTTACATTTTACAGTTTTCAAAGAATTTGCACAGACACTACTTTTTTTGCCCTCATGCAAACCTTGTCACATAGCAGACAAGGTATCATTATGCCCATTTTATAGATTAGACAACTGAGATTCTAAAGGAGGATAATTACATTGTTCAGGGGCTTCCAGCAACTTGGACCTGGGACCAGGGCTTTGTCCTCTAGGCTCCTGGCGTACTCTGACCCAAGGCCTCTCTAATGTGCCTATGATTTCCTTTTGTGCCTCAAAGTTGTGTATGGCCCCCTGTGTGAACTTGAACGGGACCTGTTACACTTTGCTTGTTGTACTCTCGTCCTAGATGAAGGTTAGGTGCAGGAAAATCTTTCTTTAACATCTGCATAACTCTTCATGGCATCCCCACAATTCTTTACTCTGGATTGTATTCCCAGGCATTTTCTCATCCTCAAATGTTTAAAGTCTTAAATAAACCAAAACCATCCACTAGAAAAATTACTCCTAGAGTCCTCTGCACTCATGCATCATGGTCTGCACACACTTTCATTTGGCATTTAGCCATGCTGTTCCATGGGAGTCCCAGTGAGGCAGAGAATAAGTCCCCGAATTTGTTCAGCATTTGATCAAGCTGGGACACTCTGCTAACGCACAATGGAGCATGGAGTCCCATTTGCAGCAAAGCTTCAAAGGAACTGTGAGTACAAAATTGGAGGAAAAAGGGAATACCATAAGGGTTCATGAGGGAAGCAAAAAGTCTCAAAAGTATTTGATATTGGTAAAGCTAGTCCAAATGCTAGTTTTGATAGCTGATTATATTGTTTTCATTGTCTCCCACAATCCTACTGCACTTACAATATGTATCACACAATTTCACATGATTTATTATGCATTCTATTAATTGGATTATACATGATTTGAGGGCAAGGATAGTATAAATAATTGCTAACATCATTCCTAGATACTAGACACTGTTGTAAGTGGCTTTGCAAATATTAAATTATTCGGACTTCACTGCAACACAACGAGATAGGTACGTTTCTAATTTAGTTTGTAGATGAGGAAGGAGAGATTAAGTTACTTGCCTAGGCTCATGGAGCTAGTAAGCTGTGGAACCAGAATTTGACTCCATGTCCCTATCCATGAAATCCAAGTTTTCGTTTGTATCTCAGCAGCAAGAGGCAAAACAGGCAAGGAAATAAAGCAGGGGCCAGAACAAAGTTGCCCATGCTTTGGATCAGTTTCAATCTTTTCACAATTCTGAGATAAAACTGAAAGTCCTGACAGCTGAGTTTCAGAGACATTTGGCTTTTTCTGCGCCCATGTTCTCTCCTGCTCGGTCTCTATAGAAAATATAAACTATTCTTTCACCATGAAAAAAATAAGTAACCAAAGAGATGGATAGAGAATGTGTTACTTTTTTTGCTATCCTCTGCCCATGACAGATACGAAAACCTAACTTTATCATACTTGGTAAGTATGCCTTGGAAGGGGTTGGGGGTTGAACCCCTACAGATTTGTCAAGAATTTTTCCAATATGAATTAATCGCTATCGTCTAAGACTATCTCTATGTAAACTAGATTTGAGGGTTGGGGGATACAGAGGAAGGAAATGATTCCTAAGAAGGTGAGCATATGATAAGTAGTCTTTGTTTAAAGAAGACCAGTATCAAGGCCTAATAATTTGTGTTGGCTAGCACCTGGAAAATCAGTGCTCTGTCGATTTGCTTTTTCATTTGATGGCAAACAAAAGCATGTGCTTTGGGATGAGCACAGAAAGCCTGGGCAGTTTTTCTAACTGGCCTTCTGATTGTTCAGGGATTTTGCTTGTGTTTTATATTAAGCAATGTGAGCACTGTATATATGTGTTTTGCTGATAAGAAGAGAAAAATGAATTGGCAGACACCTTTCCCAGACAAGACAGGAAAGCACTGTTTGAACAAAGTGGAAATTGGACTGCTTGACTGGCTGATCACAGCACGGATGTTCAAAGCTTTCAGATCATGTAATAGTCTTAGGTTCAGGTATACAATGTTGAAAGGAGGAAGAAAGCAAGGCTGATGTGAGGGCGCACGGAAAAATGAAAAGCCTTTATGTGAGAAAGCAAACTTGCTGGCTATGGGTTATCTGGTCACCTTTAAAGGGAAGGAACCACTGAATTAATTACAGCCGCTGAAGGGCACTTGCTAATAGGCACCATCATAAAATGCTTTCTGATTTTCTGAGCTATGACTCACAGCTGCAAGCACACACACGGAAATGACAAACGCACTGAGGGACAGCCAGCCGTTTCTCAGCACCTATGGGTGCAAATGGGACTCTTGACTCCTCTCCACCCCCTGGAAAACCACGTGAAGCCAGGGAAACTTGACATCTACTAAATGGAGTGTGACTGAGCCAGTTGGTGGCTTTCATACCACACAATACAAACTCAAAGATGCTCGGTTTTGCAAATTACCACATCGTGAAAGATATTTAACTACAGTTACTCACCTTGTTGCCAATAAACCTCTGAATGAATCTTTGCCATAAAGCTATTACACTAATAAAACAATACCAGGCAGAAAAGCTATCTGCTGAGTCGGGTTCTTGTTTATTGGGAATATAAAAAAAGGTTGTTAAGGTTTTGTAATAGTTCTCAAATTAATGGCTGACATAAGAACACAAGTACATATTTCAGGATAAATGCATTATAGAAACCTGAATCATTAAGAGTTTATTTAAGATTCTACCTAACTTCTAAAGCAGGCAGTATTTAGCACACACAGTTTAAGAAAAAAAAAAGCTTTCTACTTTTGCTTCTATTTTGACTTCTTTCATGCTTATAGTTTATAAAAAACGTACACTGAGTCAAGATTTTTAAGGGGTGATAGTGAATTATTCTGAAACCTAAGTGACTACAAGCAAAAATATTTTCAGAAGGGATAACATATTATTTTCTGCCTGGGTAATTACTCAACCTGCAGGCAATAGTCCCAGCAGAGGCTGAACATTAAGACAGGAGTGATATCAGGTCATAAGACACAGTACTCACTAGGAAAGACATAAATGATAAACAGGACAGAAACGTTATACTGAGAAGTTAAGGTGAAGGTGACGAAAGGCTGGATGGTAGTAGGGATTTATAAAATGCTCATGAATTTGGAAAATGTAGTCATGACATCTGTGGATATTTACTGCTAATAGAATCTTTCTGTAAACACTCTAGGGTTACTATGGGGTATACTTAGCTGTGGGCCTACCTTTTAAATAGTTAAACAATTTTGACAGCACCTTAGAGGATTAATGACTACATGTTTAGCTTACCCACTGCAGAAAACATAATGGAAGCTTGGCTGGACACTAAATTTCAGAGCATGGCATTAGCATTGGGTATCAGTCATAACACAGATGGGCCTTGTCTGCCTGGGGAGTATCTTGCCCCATGGCAGGTTTGCTACGTTTGGAAGGAAGGCCTGATGTGAGTGAAGCTAGATTGAGAAGGGAAAGGCTATGCATAGTTTGCAGTATGTAAGTGAAGAGTCCATTCACTTGGTAAGTGAGTCATCAGGGCTGAAAGGTAGTCAGAACTGAGAAAGCCAGACCAGGCTCTCATATAATTCCACCCACATCTGTCTTGCGCTTGACAGCGTTCAGATGCTTTCATTAATCCAGTATCCCCAGGTGGTAAGAAGCACAGGTGTTATTATTGCCATTGTCAAGCTGAGTGAATTAACTTTTTTATAAGTAGTCTATAAACATTAACGGTTCCAGATCATATCTTTATTCTTTTGCATTTCCCTAGCATTTCAACCACTAATTTGTCTTTATTTCCCACACAATTTCAGTAAGATAAGATTAGGGGGTAGGATGGAGTGTAACCACAGTTCATGGATATAACGTAATTTCAAGTCTGCCTGGGAATTCAAAACTGCAGGTTATTAAGAGATTAAGTAAGGAAACCTGAGGCTCTGGGAGGTTTTAAGTGGCTGCCCCTTGGTTGCCTCCCCATGTGGAAGAGCTGGAACCAGAATCCACATCTTCTCTCGTAGTCCGACAATTTTTCCGCTCTATTGCCCTCTCTCTCAATAGGAAGACACAGGAAAGGCCTGACTCATGGTCTCACTCAAAGGTGGAGAAAGGAAAAGAAGCAGGGAGACTCTCTATAAGCTCTAGGAATGTGGTTTCCAGAAAAATAATAGAAAAGAGATTTTCTTGATTTTTGTGATGGATGGTTGGTTATAATCATGACCCCAAAACTCACTGCCTTTTGCCAGAGAGTATAAACTTCTTGATCCAAATTTCTTTTCTGTCTCTTTGGTCTCAATTTGTAATTTTAGATAAATTTGTTTCAATAATAGATCTTTTAAACATGTAAAAACTAAAAGTACTATTTTTTCATCTCAAGTCTGAAGGTCACCATTGTATTATTCTAATTAATCTTATGTTTCATATATAAATACAGATGCTCATTCACTTACCATGGGGTTATGTCCCGATAAACCCCTCTTAAGTTAAAAGTATCTTAAGTCAAAAATGCATCTAATGCCCCAATAAACCCATTGTAAAGTCAAAAAATCCTAAATTGAACCATCATTAAGTTGGGGATCATCTGTACCTACTTATATCTTCTAATTCTTAAGCGGTAATAAAATGCAAATTTTTAATATACAATTCTGCATTAAAATAAAAAGAATCCTCTGAAGTCATTTTTTTTTTTTTTGCATTTTGTCCAGAAATAGGAATAATTCTAGATACTGTAAATATGCTAGAATCAGACAGAGGTGAGTCTAGGCTTCTACTGTTCAATACAGTAGCCACTGGTCTTGTGTGGCTATTTACATTTCAATTAGTTAAAATTACATGCAATTAAAAATTTAGTTTCTATTTGTGTTATGCACATTTTAAGTGCCCAGTAGCCACATGTTGCTAGTGATTAGCATATTGGACAGTGTAAATATGGAACATTCCCATCACTGCAGAAAGTTCTATTAGTGCGAATAGTTACATAGCCATCATGACAAAATCACGACATGAAGGACAGAGAAAATTAACTTCAATCTTTCTCTCTCAGCTGCTTCCTCAGTTTTTGGCTGCTGACTGAATGTACATAGCCAGGGCACAGAAATGAAAAACAGTAAGTATTAATTTAATACGTCACCATAAGTTTAGGGAATATCTTATCTCTTCATTATGATTATCAAGGGAAGAAGAGAATTAAAATAATAGTATCCTCTCATTGTCTAAGCAATATGTTTTCTTGAACCCTCCCTTAAAAAAATCACTGCCAAAAGACTCTTTTAAATCCTATGATGGGGTTCGGGGCACTCTACCCTAAAATATTTTAAGCTGAAGGGATCTGAGAAAACAGCAAAACCAGAAAGGTCACAATGACCTTTCCCGATCCTTCTTCCCTGAAGTATGTCATAAAACCTAGAAAAAATTTTCTGACCCTCCCTATAGCAGGGCATGAGAAGTTCATGTGAAGAAAGGAATATCCTTATCTCCGAAGACAAAGGTACAACACAGAAGAATGTGAACAAACAGGGCTTGCTAAGTTTCTCCCAGTTTATTACCGTTAGATCATACTCTTTGCCCTATCACACTTCTCCACGACTATGCACTCTTCATCAAATCTACTATAAAAAACACTCAGGCTGAACTGCTTTTTTTGGGTCTTCATTTCCTTATGAAGGATCCTGTGTCATGTGAAACTTATGTTAAGTCAATGTGTATGCTTTTCTCTTATGAATCTGTCTTTGCTATAGTGGCTTTGACCATGAACACAGGATATATGAAAGGAAAGATGCTTTTCCTCCCCTATATCTGTGTATTGCAAAAGGCATAGAACAATTGTTAGGAAAGAGGAAAAATACTTTAACGGGGTACCTACAAATTTTTGAGAACAAGAAATAATACAGACGGTCACATATTTTACTGCACAGTGAAGATTGTTCAAATCCCTACAGAAGAAGGCGCATGACCTGTGAAAAGAGTAATGATATTAGCTTCATTTGAAGCTTTCAGGTCTCCCAGATTTTAATCCCTTAATGTTTAGCACTGAAAAATATTTGTGGAGAATCACACAGGACTGTTATGTGACTAGGTCTTGTTACCCCCTTAAGAGTGCTCATCTCTCGTTGAAATTCATTTCACATCTCATCAGTTGCAACCACGAGCAGGGGAAGCTGGTTTCTCATTTCTCAGAAGTAAGAATATAGACGCAGAACTGATAGCATAAAGGACGAGGATATTTCCCTAATGAGACCAAGCCCAAGCAACCCCCGCTTCTGGAAATGGAATAAGCCTTCTGCTATTTTCCACAGGGTACTTGGCAGTGATAATTGTGACACATTTCAAGGGTATTTTAGGAATCTCGGGAAATATGACTGGAGTGTTTGTTCCAGGTATGCAGTTACTAATGATTGATGCTGATTTGCCCTTTTGTCCAGCACTTGGCAGAGGGATTTTGTATAGAGATCTGCAGAGTGCTAGAAGTAAAAATATTATGACACATGTTATAAAGAGACACTTTAGATGCAGTTTTAAAAGGATGCCAACATTTTATACCCACCCATGAGACTGAACAAAGAGATCAAGAATTTTCCCCACCAGATATTAACTGTGAACACAAATTTGCAGGTAACAGTTATTGTGTACAAAGATGAGAAAGGAACTAAGAGGAAGAAGGTAGCCAGGCCTTTAGAGTTCTTTAGAGTTAACTGTCTGGGAGGCAAAATTCTTTTTGGGTATATGGTTAACTCTGCTGTTTCCACAATAAGTAATTTAAAAAATCCAGCTGAAACTTCAATTTGAACCCAGAGTCAAGATAAAAATAAAGCACTCCACAAATACATCAAAGGCCTGAACTCGAATGCTCTTCCTCACAGTTATTACTAGGTAGAGATCTTGTCACTTCCTAGATTATTTTAACTCTAACCTGATTATTGCATTCTGCATTTATCCTCAGGGTTTAACTAAACATTATAAAATTCAGGTTCTTAGAAGTGAAGGGCAATATCCAATCTAAAGTTCATCAGTTCATACAAAAATAAAACACAATGAACACAGACGATAGCATTCTCCAGATATGAGAACATTTTTTTCCTTTGAAAACAGTGGGGTGGAGTAAGCAGTTCTTATGACTAAGCAAGTATGTTCTATGTAGGTCTAAAATAATGTGTTTCCCCTGTCTAAGGTAAGTATGGTCATTGTGACACAACTTCCTACATTTCTCAAGTTGAAAATACCATGTGGAACACAGCCATTTTCGTTTAGCCCAGAAGGTACCTCCTAACTTATTATTACTGTTGCATTGTTTTCAGGATACAAATCAAAATCAAAACAAAACAAAACAAAACCCCCCAAACCTCCAAAAAAACAGGTTTACAAAGCTAGAAATTTTATTTAGAGAAAACTATCCATTCCTTTGTGTTGGTGGTTATTGATGGAAAGCAACTCAAACAACAATTCCTAAGAATATTATTTGCTTCATATTTTAGCTTATATTTTTAAACATACTTCTGTATGATGTTTCACATCTTACAAAATGCATTTCATATGCATTATTTTATTTGATCCTCAGAATAACTCTGAAAAGGGTTATCTGATATCATTTCTTAGTCCCATTTCACATATGTGAAAACTGAGTCTCTTGATTTTAGTGACTCGCGTATGCTCTCACAAGAAAGTAATTAGAGCTGCTATGTCAGGAACAGCTCTAACTCCTTTTAAGTTTATTCTTTATTTTGTGCTCAATAAAGTGCTATATATTAATATTACAGCACAGTATTACTAGTGATAAGATCGTAGACTTTGGAACCAGTTGACTAGAGCTCTAGTCTTGGCTCTGGGATTTACTGACCATGTTACACTGGCCAACCTACTGATTATATCTTAAGCCTCAGTTTACTCACCTATAAAAAGATAATAAAAATAGCAATCCCCTTATAGCATTGTTGATATACTGCTAAGTGAGCTAATGAGTACTTACAGTAGTGTTTGGCACCCAATAAATACTATTATTATTATTAAAGGTTACTGCTTTCCTTAAATTTTTGTTCCTCTTATATCTTTATATTTACTTTTCTTTATTTCTGCATAATCCAAGAGGTGATTCCCCAGGTAGCACTCAGCAGTATTTAGAAAAAAATGAGCATTTCCAGATGAAAAATACTTTCGTATTTAGAAAATGAAAAGGTCTCTGACAATTTATATTTTGCTATCTTTACCATTCTTAATTTTAAAATGACTTAATTGAATTAAGTTTTGGCTCTTAGCATTTTCTTAAAGCAATCTAGATTTTGCAGTCATATCCTGTAAATTAATAACATTATATTTCTACAAGGAGGCCAAGTAAGGTCTAAAATTACTGCATCATACAATTGATTATATATTCTAACAAGGCTATTGTTGACCCACATGGTGTATTGTGAGACTTAGAAAAAGGAATTCCTTCTTCAGGATGGAATTAACTTCTCACCAGGGCACTTGGCTTGGAAAACCTAGCACTGGTAGAAGTTCAGCTCCCTGTCATTGCCTTGGTTGGGTGCCCTTGTGCAGTGAACAACCTGAACAACTGTATGCAATGACCCTGTCTTCCAGTACCTTATAGATAACACAACTGATGCAGCTGAAAAGAGGTAAATGCAGCACTGCAACAAGAAGTTTGAGAATGACATACCTCATGATACTTTTTCACAGTTTTCCCAGAATTGCATGTGCAGGACTTCCAGTTGGCAGTTCCACAGCCACAGTTTCCTCCACAGCGCTGCACAAGGAGGCAACGTGGAAAGAAGACCACACTGGTCAGCTTCAGCTCTTCTCTTAAATTGACCGAGTAATTCCTGGGAGTGCAACTGTAACGCTTGACATCATCATTGAGCCTGTCCAGGTCAACTGTAAGCAAATACACACACTGTGTAAAGCGAGCACAACTGTAAGCAAGAACATTCAGCACCTGTTATCGAGAATGGAGTGGGAAGATTCTGTGCCAACGACCTTAACCTAGGGATTACATCTGTCCTTAGCATCTCAATTACTGGGCACCTAAAGTGGAAAACCCGATTTCTCTTTTGATCCTATCTGCCCTTCAACACTAACAAGACAAAAACTAGGCTAAAATCTGTATCTTTGTTCAAATTTCTATGCATCTTTTCTTAATGCCAAAAACATGTTCTGAGGGAATAAAATAAAGCATTTGGCAATTTAAAATAATTATCTTTATTTAAAAAAAACAAAATAAATTGCTTCTTGGTTCTAAATAAGGCCTGACTCTAAGTCATTACTTAAATATAATTTGAATTATTAATATGTCTAGGACACATTAGGGACAACCACTGTAATATATTTCCCTGGTAACAAAATTTTGCAAGTAAATATAAGGTAGAAAAGGTTTTAGTTTCATTTAACTCCAAAGTCAACCAAAATGTTAAAGGAAATGGATTTTTTTTTTTCCACTGGGAATATGGTGCATATTTGTGCGTTGGGTCCTAGGTGGCAGTATAGCACAGTGGTTACGTGCCTGGGCACTGCAGTAAAGTTGCAGCTGCCTTCAATCACATCATGGCTATGCCACCTTTTAGCTGGAAAGCCATTTAATGGCTCTGAACCTCTGCTTCCTCATCTATAACATGTAAATATTTGAAGGATTGAATGTAGTGTGCCTGGCACTCAGTTAATGCCGGCTATCATTATTCATCTTGATTCATTTGATTCTCCCTCTCCCATATTTTCTTCCTTTAAAACCAAATGGTCAAAACTTAAAAAAAAAAAAAAAAAGAAGTCTTTCTACCTCTTTATGTCTTTTTTGGCCATTATGCTAAGTAAATAAATAGGCACTTGAATTGAATTTGTATTATCATGCTATGAAAATTATATTTTAATTAGAGTTCTCAAAATACATCCGATCACCCACCCATTTAGCATCCAAATTCTCTTATTGGTGCGCACACATCTTACAAGAATGCACTTAGAAGCAAGTGTGTTTGCACAGGTTCCACCACCATTTTCTAGTCCATGTCCCCTGAGCACCAGCCAGGCTACTGTAGGAGAAATCCTATCAGTGTTAGATATCACTGTGCTCACTCTGAACTCTAGCCCCAATGAATGTCTTAGTCTTAAACCAGCCCTGCCTGAGGAGCAATCAGGAATGGCTTTTGGGGGTAGAGGTCAAAGGCCAAGGACAGTGTCAGTGGACTGCATCGGAGAGAAATAAAAGGAAAAGAAGGCATAAGTGTGGACCAAGAGTCTATTAACCCCATCCCTGCGTGCCTTTTAACATGTGCAACTCTGCTTTAATTCTCAAGGGCAAGGGTTTATTCTCCAACTGTTACATGCTGAGCCCAGGACACTGTGGGAACTGAATAAATGCTAAATAATCACTGTGCATAATTTATTGCTGTTTTCTTTCTTCCTTTGTAAAGACATGTCATAACTTTAGCTACAATCAATCCAGATTTAAATTGAATGAACTCCGTCTTGGGAAAGGAACCATTTTATTGCTGCTAAAGTCCTGAAAATAACTGCAAGCAAAGCAGGAAGGATTACATAAATGGATTAAGAAGTGCAGCGACCATCCATTACAAGTGTCACCTTGAGATAAATATCGATGCTGGCCTGTGCATTCCTGGGCTTGTGAGCAGGGCTGATGCCCAGGGCCAAATCTGCTGCCTGCGATAATGGGAATGTATTTGCCTAACACGGAGGAGTAAAAGACGTGCAATTATGAAGGGATTGTGGTGAGAGGGAAGGCAGAGAGGGACAGGTAGGAAGTACCAGCACTGAGTCTCCAGTTAGTTCAGCCCTCTGTATGCACCTCAGGGCTGTGACTATATTTAGTTGTTCCTCACTCTTTTGAGGTGGGTATTATTTCCCCAAGGTGAATAGTAAATGGTAAAACTGGAATGGAAGCCTTTCTCTCTTTTGATTCGTAATCTCTGCCGCATCCAGCAGGACAGGGAAATGACAGGTAGCCTATTGGTTGAAGGAGGAAGGCCGAGGTCGCTAGGGCTCTATAGGGCTCTCCTGTAGGATGCTGAACTGGGCTTGGGTGCTGAATGGCTACGTCCTTAACTCCAGGAGCTACCCAAGCCAAATTAGAGCTTGCCTTCCCTCAGGAATTTAGCCAATCCCCAAAGTGCCCTCAACAAACCGGGGCAAGGCCTTTCTCCCCTTGAAACCAAACTCCTCACATTGCATAACCGTTTAACTGATTGGCACTGGTTACTTCCGTTTCTTACCCACCACGAAGAGATTTACAATTCTGTCAGTTTTATGCATCAATTCCCTGATGTGACTAAGAACCGTGGCCCAGTGTGACCGCTGTGGAATCCAGCTGCCCTACATATCAGAGGATTGAAACCACCGAGGCTCTCAATTTAGAACTAGAGCTAAAAGGTTCTCTGATGGGATGCAAATAACTTCGAGGCCTGATTGCAGGCTTTCTGCAGGGGATATCGAGTTTCCAGTCAAAGAAGACGGATCAGGCGACGCAGCAGAGCAGGGAGCCAGACAGAGGCTGAACAGCAATTAAAGCTTCTGGTGCTTCGGTCTGAGGGACTCTGGTGTGAGACTTCTGGGAGGGAGACAGGCCACGTGGGGCAGATCCACGTGGGAGAAGGGCTGCCCCTCCCATCCCCATAGCTGAACACTACAGAGCAGCAAGGATGTTCCAAATTCAATTCGAAGGTCCATTAATTTCATTTAACGTCCCTTATTTCACCCAAGTGTCCATAACAGTATGATCCCTCTCTTGCTGTCCTTTTGAATTTGAGTCTTGGTTTTTCATGGATCTTCAACATGGATTAAGTTTTTTGGGCTTTGTACATAAAACCTTCTGGAAAGACTTACTTCTTTAGGCTGTGATGAGAATTATAGGATCTGCACCCTGGGGTGCAGATGTGAACACACACCCTTGTTCAATTTCTAATATATTATGGCTTAGGTATGGGAGGAAGAAGAGTCAACCTGGTCTTTTTGATCCTGATAATCCAGATTACTAAATAGCAGGTACTGTGAAAAGTTCTTCACATACATGATTGCATGACATCCTCATAAATGCTATGAATTACACACAATTGTTACCCTTACTTTTATAGTTGAGGAAACTGAGCCTTTGCAAAGTTAAGAAAAAAAAACTTGTCCACAGCCGTACATCTGCTCAGTGGTAGAGCCAGCGTTGGAATCCAGGCTTCTTCATGCCTTTTGTACCTATGAGCCCCAGTGTGATGATGTGGAGAGTACAAAGAGCAGCCTCTACAGCCATGCTTGAGTGTCCCCACCGGAGAACCATTTGTTGTCCAAATGACCTGGCTTCCTAGGTGCATGGATAGGCACTGACCTGTCCATGTCACTTTCATGATCTCATCAGTTACACATATGCAAGCATGAGCTCCTGTGCACATTCATTCATCTGTTGGGATCTGACTAATAAACCAGACAACTATACACAGCCTAATTTTTTCTTTGGTGTTTCAATATAATAAGTTTCATCCTTTCACCTAGACTGATGGGAATTTGGCTGAGGCATACCTCTTCATTTTGTCCTCATTTCTCCTTGAACCCCTTCTTGCACTCACCTACTCATAGTCTTTGTCATGAAAAGCAATCAGAGGCCCAAGTAAGGAGCTGGATGGATTGATAGCAATGATTTGTCCTCAGTGGGAGTCAATGCTGGCATCCCAGAGATTCTAGTTTCTACAGGATAGATAAACCCAATATGCCCAGTATGTGTTCACATACTTGGCAAACACACCATGGGTGGTGATCAGTTTAAGACAAAATTTTAAATGTCTATGTCTATTCTTTCTCTCTTTTTTAAAGTGACACATATTTGCATATAAGTTTTGTGTTCAGGAGGCCAGAAGTCCAAAATGGGCCTTACTGAGTTAAAAATCAAGGTATGTAAAAGCAAGTCTGTGTTCTTTCGTGAATACAAAAATTCATCGTGAACCAAAATAATCTGTTCACTCTGAATGTGGGAAAGTAGTTTTTTCTCTCCATGCATGCTTAATTTACTGCTTGTTTTGTTCAACAGGAGGATAGTTTCCCTGGATCAATCTCTAAATGTCAAGTTATCAGTCAGCTTTCACTGTGCTGGTTGTTCATCAATCTTTATGCTGATATTTGCACCACCAGCCATTTTTCTCTTGATCATCCCGAGTCTGCTAGAGTGTCCAATTAAACTGCTGCATGTTTTGGAGAAAGCCAACAATCATTTTATAACAACCAGGTCTAGCCTTTACAATGCTAAAATTCTTTATAAACTGTCCCAGCAGGCATGCAGCGGCAGCCTCCATGTTAGTGCATGTTTAGCATACGGCGATGGCACGAGGAGAGAGAGGGCTAGAAGTGGGGCCACGCTCATTTTCAACACCATGCTTGTGTCATTCTGTTTGGTCTTATCTGGCATCTCAGCCTGTTACATCATTTTGATCTTCTAGAGCTCAAATCAAAAGGCACATTCACCCTGCATCTTCTCTGACCCTTCTCTATGTACTCACCACACTTTGTCCTCTATTAGAGACAGCACCTACTTCACAGACCCAGCCTTAGTGTTTTCTTTCTAGACGGTCTCCAACTTACGATGGTTCCACTCACAATTTTTTGACTTTGTGATGGTGCTTTCAGCTGTGTGTGTTAGTGGTGAGTACTCATACAACCATTCTGTTTTTCACTTTCATTAGAGTATTCAATAAACTACATGAGCTATTCAACACTATATTATAAAATAGGCTTTGTGTTGAATAAGTTTGCCCAACTGTAGGCTAATGTAAGTGTTCTGAGCATATTTACAGTAGGAGAGGCTATGAATGTTCAGTAAGTTAGGTGGATTAAATGCATGTTTGACTTAAGACATTTTCAACTTAATGATGGGTTTATTGGGACATAAACACATT